TAAGCGTATTCGTATGGCTATTTTGCATCGTAAGAATGTTTAGTATGCATGGCAGTATAAATTCCGAGCTGGACTACCTGCATTTGCGATGATAGCGTCGATTGGCTTCCCAGTGTCTCTCACATCATCTACTGCTTTTTGCACGCTCTTTATATCACTTAAATCGCATGCAATCGCTATCTTTTCCCCCGTTCCCTGCCAATCACAGAGGGCTATCTCAGCTTTCTCTTTTGTACGTGCGAGCCCAATTATATTCGCATTTCTGAGTGCCAACACACGCCCGGTCTCATAACCTAGTCCGGAGTTGACACCTGTTATAGCGTACGTTTTATTTGTAAGGTCTTTTCTCTCTGTACATTGTGCAGCAGTCGTATGGTAGCCGTAACCATTGATCCCATTCGCCCAGAGTGCTAGCATTACTGGAGAAGACGATGAAACAAAGCGGTAGTTGGTTGTCACGCGAAATACATACTATTTTTTCCAGAGGTCCGTCCAGAAATCACTAGCCCCCTGCCGTCCATTCTAATGTTTTTCTATTCTAAAAAGAATTAAAAAAATTCTTCACAAATGTACATACATATTTAGCCTCCTAAATTTAACAATATATAACAAGAGAAAATTGAATCTGTCTTTGTTGTTCTGTATTGGTTTTAAAACAAAACCAAAACTTCTGTTTGAGTGTTTTATTTTGGAAATTTTTCCAATTTTCATATTTTATACACTACTTTTATATATAAAAACAGTAGTCACTTGAATTCTATCTGCAAGTGGAATTGTGATGTACTCTGGTCACTGTAGTCTGTACTATGTACTCAATCTGTACATACTTATTATTTATTCGGATTAGGGCTGTATGTAGTTGTCCACGAGACAACAGTTTAAAAAATAAAAAATAAAAATTAAGTCATCCTGGCAGACGTATGGGCACCTGGGTGGCTGGGTCCTGGCCTTCTGAACTCTGAAGTGTAGAAGATAGAAATTTAGACTTTAGAACTACTCTGGGTTTTAGTTAAAAATTAATATATGTACACAATTACACCTGTCAAAAATATAATATATTTCCAATTTTTGTGTTGTTATATGAATTCAACTATTCATAGCCTCCTAAACACCCTGTTCTTTTTTTAGGAGGCTATTGTTATGTGGTTATCCGTTATATTTTTTAAACCCTAAACTGTCGACAGTACATACTCACTACTCCACGAGTCACGAATTCACGACTGTCGAGTTGCAAATCGGGTTTGTATTTGCAAAAATAATTTTAAAAAGCCAGTATGTAATACTATGAATATTTTACTTTAAAAGAAATAGATACAGATGTATCGGAAAAATCACGTCTTTAGTATTTTAAATTTTTGGCAAATTATACTCAAAATAAAGATATGTGTATTTAAAAAAATACAATATACATAGACGTATTTGACATCGGGCACGATTAAAAACCAATTGAAATTGGAACCAAACCGGCATTTGGCTCTAGTTGGTTTTTGTTTTATATTATATATATAAAAAACACGGCCTTCTGGATTAGGCCTTAGGTTTAGGGTCTCGAGTCTCGACTCTCGAGCTGAAATCAAGGTTTCTCTCTACAACGAAATCGAAAATTTAAAGAGAATCCAAAACCGGAGGGCAGAGGGCCGTGAAAAAAAAACAACTTGAATATTCTGTCCTTTTCAGAAGACGCATACAGAAAAAAATACATAAAATAAATATATACTGCATGTATGAGACTTGAGAGTTCAGAGCTTAGTGTTTTGATTTTATTTTTTATTTTCTTAAGTTGGGCTTAGAGGTATTTTATTGGTTAGTTTGATTGGATGATTGTTTCGAGGTGTGAAATGTAAACTAAGCGTCCAATGAAATGATATCTAGTCTTATTAACTAAAACATAAATAAATCTAGACCGAAGTAGTGAGTGATTAGAGCGATAGACAATAGTCTCAGTCTAAAATCCCCTAATCTTTTGCTCATTGCCAAGGGCGGAAGCTAAACTTATTTAACATTTTGCATTTTAACGTATTAATGTATTATCTTGTTTAACGTATTAACGTAAACGTCGTGGTATCGTATAGTCAGCATCCTCCATTGTCGACTCACTTGGTCCAAGCTTCAACAGGGAATTTACTGACCACTTCTTCCCATCGATCTTCCCCGAGCCACTACAACGGCTATGAGAGCCATACCATATGTACAAACATTGTAACTTAACTCCTTTGAAATAAATAATATTATCCTAGAGGAGACCGACTTTTACAAGTTGTTGGAACACAAATGATTCCTTCAAACCAACCGGCATCCCAATAAATCGGAACCTCTCTCCTCAGGGCGTCAAAAACGCAGTAACCCCTCGACTACCAAGCTCTATCATCACTGTCCAAACCCATTTCCAGCGTCCACATTGGTTCTCCACTTGCGCCCTTTAATGTTGCCAGAAACTCATCTTCTGTTGGTATCGGATAGGTACCCGGATCTAGCTGATAATTCGTACGCATATAATTTATGCACATCCTCTAGTCCTTGGGTTCCTTATGACTGGGATTACTACCCGGCACTTTAGGCACAAGTTTCGACCCTGTAAACCAATCCGTATCTTGCACCCTCTCTATCAGCAATAGTTGCACCTTCTTCCTCATCACTTCAATAAGTTGCACATCTTTCTCCGCATGTACTTGTCTCAAAAGCGCCCCTCCTTCTTTGATTTGAAGCCTTAGCTTGCGATCCTTCACAAACTTCGGTTTCTTGTCATTGCATGCCACCCTACTAATAGCCACCACCAACTCTATCAATTCTTTCATAGACTTCCCCTGTTCCCCAGTCAACAGTTCCAAGCCACTCGTATTGAACACTAGATAAACGTCCTCGCCCCCGGATTTATCACTGTCATAACCTGAATTATATCCCCCATCATCTTACATATATCAAATGGTGTTACCTGTTCTTCTCGCTGATATAATAACGGCACCACCACATACTGAATATAATCTAACACCGGATCAGACACTTCTTTGCTTAGCCAGGTCTTAAAGTATGATGACTTCTCTCTTACTACCTCAACCGGAAACCGGGTATACTTAGTTACCCCTTACCTAGTGAGCACTGCCCCAGTTAATCCATACCCATTCAATTCAAGTCTACCTAACAACATACCCGCATTGTGTGAAATCCAATCCATAACCCACATATCCAACTTAACCCTCCTCTCGCCTACTAAAGTAGGAAATACAACCTCAACATCTCGTACCTTGTATTCCACATAAAGTAGAGCACCAATTCCAAAGACGCTCTGCCAAACCCTTAGAAATCATCGACGTATTGGCGCCTTGATCAACAAACTTATCGACATAACACTGTTTACTCTCCACATAACTATCAGTCTGCCTAACAACATACCCGCATTGTGTGAAATCCAATCCATAACCCACATATCCAACTTAACCCTCCTCTCGCCTACTAAAGTAGGAAATACAACCTCAACATCTCGTACCTTGTATTCCACATAAAGTAGAGCACCAATTCCCAAGACGCTCTGCCAAACCCTTAGAAATCATCGACGTATTGGCGCCTTGATCAACAAACTTATCGACATAACACCGTTTACTCTCCACATAACTATAGATCAAAGGTTGGCCTGGTCCTTCATAACTAGTCGCCGCCGCATGTCACAATTCAGGTGTCCGATCTGCACTCATACGCACCTCCCCAGACGCCACTGCCGCTATATTGCCCCCGGATCGTGCTATAGGACAGAATCTTGCAGTATGACCTTTCTTGCTACACGTATGACACACCACGTCTTTCAACACAGGTCACTCTTTTACATAGTGACCATCCTGCTTGCAAACCAATCACGCCCCTCTTAGACCTGTCATCCCTGAAATCCTAGACACCTGTCTAGCTGCAGCTGCTTGCAACTGCCCTGCTCTTGCGGCTACCCTCGCTTAATGTCTCCGGCCCGCATGTTCTCTCTTTTCTTGACGCGCTATGTCATCTTCTCTCATCTCAGACAACTGCTCCAGCACCTAGCCCAGCCCCCAGCCTCAAACATCCTCAGGACCATTTTCTTCCCCGATTTGCGACTCGAAAACAAGGCTTTCAGCAGACTTATACTCCGCTCAGTCAATCCTTTTAAGCCCTCCATCACTACATCCTTCGAGCTCACATCGTTTGCCAATTTAAGCAGCATATCCACATAGTCATCTTCCCTCAGCATAGGAACCATCCAGCGTGCTGCTGATTCGCTTTCTTAGCATTTATACAAATCACCTTGCACAAAGCATCATACTCATGCCGTTTACGCTTAGCCTCTATCTTCAACTTAGCTGCTGATGCATCAGCCTTCTTCCCTACTGTGACTGCCTTACTGAGGCCACTCTTTTCTTCTGTTGAGCATCCTCATCCTCACTGTCGCTACTTCCGCTGTTATCATTGCTGTCACTGTCCCTAGCAACTTCCTCTTCAGTCTTACTTCCGTCCTGTTCGCCCTCAGAAGGCATCTCAGTAAACGGATCCCGTTCTGGGAGCACTTTCTTCGCTTCAGCTTTCACCGCAACATGCCGAGCACCATAGTAATAAATCTCACGAAGATGTTCAATAACCTTTTCAGACTTGGATCCCCACCCTCCTATTGTAATAAGCTGGGCCTCCACATTAGACTCTATGTTATAAACGTACTCTTAAGCAGTACGTAAATTATAAACGTACTCTTAATAGTACGAGGAACTTAAGTTTCCTAAACGTACTCTTAATAATACGAGGAGCCTAAGTTTCCTAAATGTACTCTTAATAACACGAGGAACTTAAGCTTCCTAAAATGGGTTTTAATGGTTTTATTACTTAATACCTTTTCCATTTTACATATCAGATATTTGGACGAGGCCATTAAAAGGCCTCAATAAAATACCAAACATAAGAGTTGGTCTAGTTCTAATAATAGAACTATATTTACTTTCCAACTTATTTATATCTGAATACTTCGGTAGCGAGCTGGCTCAACTGAATATAGGTTTCTAGGGACTATTAACATTACCTAGTTGATCCTCCGATCAGCCGACCAGATGTGCCAGTCTGATGAAGGCTAAGTCGGTAATTCTTGATAGTGGCAAGTTATTGGTTAAGACAATAACTAAAGACATCAAGAGTATTTCTTTTCTTTTCTAAAGATAGGATTTTATGAGTCCCTCGGATTCGCCCCCTTGAAACATACCATAGTTTCTAATAGAGCGACAACAAAACACTAAATAAAATCCCTTCGGCGGAAACAGTACTGATAGGATTATATATAGGCAATGTCTCAGCCTCACAACCCCTCAAAGTATTGCTGTTTTCACGAGGCATGCCTAACTTCACTAAATGTCTCATTTCGTTTATTTACTTTGATATTTACACGTTACTTAGAATTTACCTACGCGTTTATTTATTCTAAGGCATTAGTATCGTCTTAATAGACCGAATCTTACACATTTTAAAGTTAGCAAAGGTATTAATTACTTAGACTACTTAAGCGTAAAGGTAGATTAACTAC